CAATAAAAATATGAAGATCTGCTTTCCCTCTTTTCCCTATGTACATCACATTCCTTTCTGTCGCGGGAGGCGGAATGTTCTCTGGAGAAATTATCGCCTTTTCAGTCAACTACTATCTTCGGCTCATCTTGTCCTCTTTTCACTGATCATCCCCAGGACAGGCGGACAGTAGGAGGCTGCGAAGATCAGCAGGGGGATTCTGCAATATGATTGCTGGTTGGCATGAAAGGGGCTCAGGAATCAATTTGAGTTCTTGGTTGGGCAAATTGCGGACAAACAGCCTCTTGTGAGCTCATAGCAGTCACTTTCCAGCAATGATTGAGACCGTCAGCCACAGGTCTTATGAGATATGATATCGCTGTACAGAGTAGAATTGTCCAGCATCCAGTTTGAAGTCTGCATAACCCACAATCTCTGATTCTAGCAAATAATGTAATTATTCTCAATTTGTCTAACTAACTAACGTAATTCCACACCGAGTCGGCCACCAAATTTCTCCACCTACTAATTTAACTGCTCATTCAATTCAACGCGCAATTATGCCACCAAAATGCAAGAAAAACTCTTCAAATTCAGTTGAGCAAGAGGGCAGGATTGAACTCGCGATAAAATCTATTCAAAATGATGAAAAGCTCTCAATTCGTGAAGCTGCAAAGCTATTTAATGTGCCTAGATCTACTCTTCAAGATCGCCTCAAGCACCGGCCCTCATGGGTGAATTTACGCGCAAACTCTCACAAATTATCTGCTGCTGAAGAGGATAGCCTAGTTGAATGGGTGTTGGACCAAGCTAAATGAGGATTCCCTCCTCAGCTGGCATTTGTTGAAGATATTGCTAATTATCTTCTTACCTTACGGAATTCCACTGCCTCCACTACCTCCCCCCCTCGGGTCAGCAAGAACTGGATTTCAAGGCTGATTAAACATTGTACGGAGCTCCGAAGCCGCTATTCCAGACACTATAATCATGACTGGGCCAAGTGTGAAGATCAGCAGGTTATAAAGGATTGGTTTAAGACCTTAGGAGATACAATTGCTGAGCATGGGATTGTGCCAGAGGATATATACAACTTTGATGAGACTGGCTTTGCTATGGGGCTCTGTGCCACTACTAAGGTCATTACTAGTAGTGAGCACTATGACAGAGCAAAGCTCCTACAGCCTGGAAACTGTGAATGGGTGACTGTAATTGAATCAGTCAACGCGTCAGGATGGGCTCTACCTCCCTATCTCATCCTCAAAGGCCAGGGCTTGTTGGAAGGTTGGTTTGAAGGCCTTCCAGAAGGCTGGAGGCTAGATGTCAGTCCAAATGGTTGGACTACTGATGAAATAGGCCTGAGATGGCTTCAATGGGTGTTTATTCCAGCAGCAGATCCTCGCAGAGTTGGCAGATCTATCCTTCTTATCCTGGACGGGCACGGCAGTCACCTTACCCCAGAATTTGACCAAATCTGCAAGGATAATACTATAATATGCCTTTGCATGCCACCTCATTCCTCTCACCTTCTGCAGCCACTAGATGTGGGTGTTTTTTCAGTTTTAAAGTGAGTGTACAGAGATCTAGTTCAGCAGCGAATGCAGCTTGGATTTAATGCCATTCGGAAGGCAGATTTCCTAGATGCCTACCCTGCAGCACGCGCTGCAGCCTTCAAACCTCAGACTATTCAAAATGGCTTCAAGGCAACTGGAATAGTGCCCTTTCAGCCTGACTACGTCCTCCAGCAGCTGGATATTCAACTACGGACCCCTACCCCCCCATGCAGCAGCTCTAGCAATTCAATCATGTCCTGGGTGCTTCAAACACCTAGTAATCCCCAGCAATTACACTGGCAGGCGAATAAGATCAAGGGCTTAGTGAAGGGTCAGCCTCAAGGCTTTGTGGAAGGTTTTGACCAAATTATCAAGGCCTGTGAATATGGGATGGTCAGTGCCACAATTATGAAGAAGCAATACCAGGATATATTCAACACCAATGAGATAGAGAAGCAAAAGCGCAAGAGATCTTTTTTTTAGGCGCCGAATTGGGCAGGAAGTAGGAGGTTTAACTAGTGAAGAAGTTCAAAGTCTTCTAGTAGGCCCTATAGAGCCTGCAGAGCCTGTTGAACAGCCAGTTATTCAACCCCCCCAAGCCTTCAGCTGCTGAGCCCACAGCACGCGTATGAGCGCCACGAAGATGCAGCAATTGTGGAATGCTTGGGCATACAAGACTAAGATGCCCTCAACCAAGTGTAATTTAATTTAATTTAATTGAGCTTTGTTGCGTTGAGATAATTTGAATTAAAAACTACCTAGTTGGGATACAGTGAATTTGCTGGCCGACTCGGTGTGGTGGCCGACTCAGTGTGGAATTACGTTAATAGTGGTCTGGTTGATTATGTAATTGTGCTTGGCAAAACGTCGGCTGCATCGCATCACCAGACTGAAGAAGAACTCAAGCCCAACGGCAAAGGATATATTCAAGAGGCAATTAGCTACTGTTGCTTATAGGTGCGCATGCAGATTCCGGAACGTCCATAGTAACCCTAATTCTACCGCCAAGGTCCCTTGTCGGTGCCATGTCGTCTTTCTTCTTTTCCACCCCTGTCGATATCGACATCGTCCTTGAAGATAGCGATGAACGGGAAACTGTCGATGTCAAACTAGACAAGAACAGAAGGGAGAAGGCCCCGCTGTATATGGATGGTGAATCTGTGAAGGGAGCGGTGACAGTGCGGCCTAAGGATGGGAAACGATTAGAGCACACGGGCATCAAGGTGCAATTTATCGGAACGATAGGTACGGTACATATGGCAATGCGCCATTCCTTCTTCACTTCATCCACCCAGTACTGAGGTTAACTTTATTGATTGATATGATGGGACTTGATTAGAGATGTTTTTTGATCGGGGTAACCATTACGAATTCCTCTCCTTTGGCCAGGAACTTGCTGCGCCTGGTGAACTACAGCATCCGCAAATCTTCCCATTCAACTTCAAAAATGTCGAAAAGCAATATGAATCTTACAATGGCATCAATGTCAAGCTCCGGTATTTTGTCAGGGTGACGGTTTCACGGCGGATAGCGGATGTTGTGCGAGAGAAGGATATCTGGGTATATTCGTACCGCATGCCTCCGGAAACGAATAGCCCTATCAAAATGGACGTCGGAATCGAAGATTGCTTGCATATAGAATTTGAGTATTCGAAATCGAAATATCATCTCAAAGATGTTATTGTAGGGAGAATATACTTCTTGCTTGTGAGGTTGAAGATAAAACATATGGAATTGTCGATTATCCGCCGCGAAACGACCGGATCGCCCCCGAATCAGTATAATGAAAGTGAAACGTTGGTGCGCTTCGAGGTATGTTAAAACCGCATTTTACCAAAACTGGCACCATCTGCGTTCAGAGGTGGAAACGCTGGCAATACCATTGGGTAGGCTAACTCGCGTGTTTGTAGATTATGGACGGTTCCCCATCAAGAGGTATTCAGATTTCCCCCTATCGTGTGGATATATTCCACGAAATTGCTTGACCACTTCTTTCCATCATCAACATGGTGTTACATACCATGTGACGAGCTGACAATCGTTATTTACCTTCACAAGGCGAAACGATACCCATTCGATTGTTCCTGGGAGGGTTCGATTTGACCCCCACGTTTCGCGATGTGAACAAAAAGTATTCGACTCGATACTATCTCAGCTTAGTTCTTATTGACGAAGGTAAATTTTTCCTGGCACTCGGAGGTCATTCTTTCTTTTCTATGGTTTTTTGATCTTCCTACCACGATTTGAATCTTGAGATCTCTTGGTTCTTATTTTCGGGCTTTGCTTATTCTCTCCACAATCCCATGCGCATCCCATTTCATCCAAACCCCTCTCCCAATTGCACACCTTTACGGTGATTGGATTACCAAACGGAATGTGAGCAGGATGATTTCTCACGGCTGGGGCTTGAGCGCTCCAATTCAGCTCTGTGTTTGGTTGATGGGAGAGGGGCCCCCACGCTAAGACTTCCCTTGCCGCAGTTCCTACACATCGACATTCTTTCCACATCCCTTCAATCAACCCCTTGGCCCATCGCATGACAACGGTGGAGTATCGGTCGGACGGATCAAACAGCCATGCCATCTATTTCACATTCACGTCATATACGTCACTTCTGACCCTGTCTATGTGCCCCTTGCTGCTTATGTTTGTTCACCGATGCCAAACCAAGAATGATCACAGGTTGAAGAACAAGACATGTGAAACGATGGCTAACCAAGTCTTCCAGATGCCCGTCGATACTTCAAACAATCCGAAATCGTTCTTTACCGTCAAGCCCCCGAAATCCCATTAACCCCTGAAGTTGCACAGCAACAAATTGACCAGCAACAACAACTCCAAGGTGAGCCTGTTACGTCAGCAGGTCCAACAAAAGACATGCAAACCGCATCGTTTGGAAAGCAGCCAGTTTCGGCCCCTGCATAGTTGATGCTGGATGGGGACGATGACGACGGGATGCAGGGCTGGTTAGATAATAGCAATGGTTCCATGAATTGTTGGAGTTGTGGTCATTGGCTTTTGATTTCCCTTGTTCCGGTTTTTAGAACAGACAATCACGTTGTGTATCATGAGTTATTCCTCTCAGGATGGTCTTTCAATATCTATTATGCTATTTTCCATTTTTTCAGTGTATTAGCCATAGGAGCTCTCGAATTGTTGTCCACCGTTTGCATCTATGGCTGCTGGTTTAAAGGTTTCCTGCATCATACTTCATGGATTATATAGCTAATCTCTGGTATCAAAGTGAATAACATGCCCATCAACGTAAAAAAGGTGGCATCCTGGGGGATTTGTAATCCTCCCAATGAAGACGGCTGAAAATGTGGGACGCAAAAATATATATATATATATTTGAATGAGAATATATGTTAATTAATAAAATAAACCGAAGTGAACATGAATAGTGTCAACAAATGGAGATGCTTTACACCAGGATCAAATAGCAGTATTGAGTTTAATCAATGCTATCCATCAATCATTTCCTTTGTCTACAGCCTCTCCGTCACTATCACCCCCATCCCCATCCCCATCATCCCCATCCCCATCATCCCCATCCCCATCATCATCATCTTCTTCTTCATCTTCTTCTTCTTCTTCCCCTCCATCCCCCGAAAGAGATGCCAACGCCCGTCCCAACGCATCTAAAACGCTACTATCTTCTCTCTCCTTTCCAGCAACTCCCATCCCCCGTACGACGAGCGGATATATCCATCCAAGATGTTTCTTGAACATCGATGATTTAACACCACCAACGCTGAGCGTCTTGCCACATCCCAAGGGAATAGCAGGACCCGCATCGGGAATTACACTTGGTTCACTTCTCAACTCAACTAGTCGACGGAGTAGATATAACAGCTCCTTTCGTGCTGGAGTCGGTTGCGGCATGAGTCCACGTAGCGGTTGGTCGGCGATGTAGGATTTTAGAGATATCGCGCAACGGAGGATTAGATAGGGAGAAACGGATTTTGCGAGGGATATATAAGGATCTGTCCTGCCTTGGTGTGTGGCTCTTGATGAAGATTCGGATGGCGGTGATTTAGGGGGAAGGGAACTGCTTGTGCGTGTTGATGCAAGGCCAAAGAGCGTGTCGATTAGCACATAAGACATTTTTGATCGGAGAGTTGGCGCTGGATCGTAGGTGCGGCCCATACGGATTTTATACAAGTCACGCAGCGGCTCCGTTTCGACTCCTCCAAGGGGTAAATCGTGGTGCTGTGGAGGATAGAGAAACGATGAGTTGAAAAGCGCACAGGCAAAATCGCGTCGTACTCTATCCGGTATCAAAGAGGAGCCTAGTGATGGTATGACCACGTTTCGGAGGCGGGAGAAAGATGTTATGTCGAATTCTTCATCTTCGTACACTGCATTGGGCTGCACATTCAATTTATTGTAATTATGGGCTGAAACAATCCCCCTAGAAATGTCAACGACACAACTCCAGAACCTATCTAGTTCTTCTTGATTAGAATTAGCATGTTGCTTCTCGATGTATGGGATAGAGACTTGAAGAATATCGAGGGAAACGGTCGTCGCCACCCGCCATAAAACGGGGTCCTGGTCTCTTCCATTCCAGTTATATTTATGGGTTATCTGGTTAGCCAGGTGTTCAAGCGCTCTGGCCAATGTGCCACCTGAGAAAATATCAATGAGAATGCCATGTTCCACTATATACCACCCTAGCAGTCGCATTGCAGACTTTGAGAATGCCACAAAGGTTGGCCTTCTTTTATCTTGAGCCGGTGACCACTTTGTTAACGCGCAGTCCGAAAATTCAGCAAGGCACCCAACAAGAGCTGGTTGAGAGGAAGTCCTCTCTAAACACATTGTCTTCAAGCATTCCATAGAAAGCGCCTGCAACTCTGACTGGTGATCAACGTCTGGAGTGTAGTGGGATGACACTGATCCCCAGATGGAAATTTGTATATTATTGAGGACTTGGTCAATATGTGATTCCGTTAATGTATTCTTCAGGAGCCGATATAGCTGCTTGAAACAATTGAGATATGCTATCAAAGTATTTTGATTTAACATATCTAAATTTGGTTGATCATCTCCTTTGATCGGGTGGCCATCAGTCCAGACAGCCCACGCAGATTGCATAGGTTCGAGGCCGATGTCTTCATAGCCTTGTATTCGAGAGAGAACTTCCGAAAAACTTGAGAAGATAGATTCGTCCAACTCAAGTAGTTTAACCTTGATTATAGTGGCGAAATATTCCAATAGTCGGTTCCACGATTGAATAAAGCCCTCATACTGGATAATGGTATCGAAGTACGCAGCAATTAAGCTAGACAATCCTTTTGTCAGAACCACAACGGTCTCTATCCATGCTTTAAGTTCGACAGAATCACGACCTTCCGATCCCTGCGACACTCTCAAAATTTCCTTCTGTACCGAGTCTGTCATAGCAAAAAGAACCTTGTTCAAACAGAGATGCCAGGCTTTTGGTGGGAGTTGATGGCCGTACGCATCGAAAATTCGCAAGGAGGTCTGAATTGCAGTATTTCGAATTTCCGCCCGGTTGTCAGTACTTAAACCAACAAGATGTAGAAGGAGGAGCAGCCACAATGAATTTCTAGAAATTGAGAGATCTGAGCTCTTGGCTAGCGTGGTCAACGTCTCCTCGCTCGAAGAAACTTCCATATGACTTTCAATAGAGAACTTATCAATTTGACTTCGTAGAAAATCAGAAAGGTTCCAAAAGGTCGTTGTGGAAGTAAGCGAGATATTGAAATCCTCCATCTGTGACGCAAAGTTCGCAAAAGCTCTAACCAACTCTAAGAGACAGGGGGATGGTAGCAGGTTAAGGAAGTCGGAAGCAACAAGCTGAAGCGAGCTATATGCTGTTCTGACAAGCTTTGGAGACTTCACAGTTAAATTACCCTTAATCCTATGGGTAAGTTGGGAAGAAGCGGGTTTGCTCCCGTTCTCTAGCAGTAACTGCGGTTTATCAAATACACTTGATATCAGATCAAACACCAAGTCCCATCCGGCAACCAACGATTCTCCACACTCCTCCAGAATAGATTTTAGCGTCTCGAGTGCAAGTTCATGTACTTCAAAATCGGATGCGCGTTGTGAAGACTTCGCAGTCTGACTTATGTCATATAAAGCTGAGATCTGAATTTCCAAAGCATGCAAGCCCCGAAGTTGAACGAGATTTCGTAAGTTTGGATCGTCAGAGTTTCCGAGCTTTATTGAGTTGAATACAACGTTGTCAAGAACCTGGCTCGCATTCGAACGCAGGGACTGATTGATTTGGCTATTTCGAGTGATAGATACGAGATCCTCAACTAAAATGTGCCAAATCCCTGCTTCGTCTTTGGGGAGGGCTAGTCGTTCAATATTGGCTTTGGCCAACTCATTCACTTTTGTTAAGACAAATTTCAACTCATCATCTTGAATTCTCGACTTTCCCAGAGCGATAGAAAGAGAGCGTTTGTTTTGATGAATGCGCCCTATGGGCTTAGAATGTGCCGTAGACTGTGTGGATATAGGAAGATCCTCAGGGGTGGTATCCGGAATACCCTTGTTTGTCTCTTCGGATAGACGTAAGAGGGCAATTAAAATGTCCTTGAATGAGGTGCTATGATACTCTCCAGTGCTCTCAAACATTTTAGTCGCTGCAGCTTCGACAGCCATGATTTCGGTTCCAAAACCAGCTTTGGAAGGCTCTAAGGAAGGGGTAGCGTTGAAATCACTGGTCTGATTCGCAGATGTAGGCTTAGGGGTTGCGATGCTGGAAACGCTGATGATCAACTCTGCATGCTGAAGCGTTTCAAGTATTATTGACCATGCAGCCTGGTCCAAAGTAGGACCCAGTGCTATTCCAAGGTTAAGTAAGGCCCGCAAACACAATAATTTACGAGTGCTAAGAGTAGCAGAACTGTTATCTGCTGGTGGAGCGAGTGCATCAGGAGTAGTTTGGGACTTCTGTAGAGGCGATTCGGCAGTAAGAGAGGCTTGGGAAGTAACACTAGGGGACCTGTGAAGCGTGTTGATAGCAACGGGACCGACTGGGACAGCGGCCTTCCCAAGAGTAGTGAGAAATGTATCTCGTGGAGTGGATAACCTCAATAGACCAGCAACATGAGTTAACTTCTGGAAGGCTCTGACCAGATTGTGATAGAACTCTTCGTCCAGCGCGGCATATAAGAATGTCGAACAAGTCGCAAGAATAGCGGGCCAGCAGGAATCAATCATGCTCATGATTGCATTAATGTCATCGATCTGGGGGTGGGTTTTGAGGTCTAAAGGGTTTAGCGGAACAGCTGATCTCTTCGAAAATGTGCTAGAGTTACTATGCTGAAGTTCTGAGACGTCACTCTCTTTATTCGAGGTGAACTCCCTACGTTTTCGTTTGCTTTTAGATTCCGGAACTGTCAATGGCAGGATGAATTTTGCAACGCTCTCCGAAAATGCACTTATGCAATTAAGAACAAGGCTGTAAATATAGGTCTCTGGAGGCATTGGGTTCTCGATTTTGTCTAACGTTTCGAGGTACGGCGTACGAACAAGGCTCCATTGGCTGCTGATACCACACATATTCTCATTTGTGGCTGGGCCTCCAATAACGCCAGCAACAGTGACAGTCTCAAGAGCAACTTGCTCGTCCATAGTATTTCTTGAATTCGAGATACCCGTTGGTAAAGTTGACTGATGACTAACACCAATAAGTGACGGTTTTTCTGAAGCTAGCCTCACCAGACAAGCCATATGATCACGGACGATATCCCTGCGACCTTCTTGGCCGTCAAACAGTACGTAAATAACCCTAATAAGTCCCGGGTCAGAATATAACGCTCTGAATATCTCCATACAGATAACGCGTTTCCAGGGTACTGCAGCATCAGCATCAAGCAAATGGATCAGAAGCCCTAATGCCATCTCGCATTCCGTAATCAACTGTGGTAGATACCCTCTAAGTAGAAGGAGTAATATCCTTGCCACACGGACTGTCAGAGGAAAGCTATACCGTTCGGAAAAGTGCCTCACGGTCAGTGGCATCAACCGGTTGCGGAGCACCTGAATTTGTTCTGGATGTTTAGCGAAAACATCACCACTGTTAACCAGGATACTTTCGATTAGCTCAAGAACGAAAATCTTTGAAAGCGACTTGATATTGAGAAATCCTAATTTTTCTCCTTCAATGATACGGCAGAGATCATCCAAAATCTACAAAGGTGATCAGCAAGAACCACACAGATATGAAATATTGCACAGTATAATTTACCCGCAGCGCATCATAACTGGCAGAAGATATGCGAATCTGCTGTTCATCGACAGTCACCGTAGCACTGGGAACTGAATCTACCGTCGCTTAAGTAAAAGATCAGTATAGTGAGATGAAAACTCCGATAATGAACAGATTGGATTGACATACCGTCCATTTTAGAGACCTTATCAAAGACAGAAACTACGAGCTGTTGCAGTGTGGCTGCAGCTGTATTCGCAACAGATACGGTTTTACTGTTCTGTATGGTGGCGCACAATTCCAAAGAAGTTGCAAGAAGCGGTCCACTCAAGCTGATCGCATAATATTGAAACAGCGAGCCTAATGTCTGAAGCACTTTAAGTTGGACATCGAGACCTATCAACCTTTTAGTACTCATACAAATATCTACCAACCATAGGTGAGGTTATCAACCTAAATTCGTTGTCTCTTGAAGAGCATTGAGAACATCCCTGAGTCGTTCTGGTGGTAGCGCCCGGGAGGCCACCAGCCTCTGGACACCGACCACCCCGATTGCAGCAAGTCGAGCATGACGGGTTTGACAAGCAATCACAAAAGGTTTTACAAAATGGGGTTTTCGAAGCAAGTCTCTTGGAAAGTCAGTATATATGAATTAGCCCCATGGTTCTGGGTGAGCCAAACCTGCCGCTAGCTGGGCTTCCGAAGTTGACGGTAAACCCTTCAGCTCTGTCAAGGACTGCTCAGCTACCTAAATAATGACAAGTCAGTCAATGTTCATTTGGGAGTAGAGATACCTAAGACATTACATTTTTGAGATCAGAATTCTTCCGCTTCGATTCTTGTATTAAATTTGAGAGTTCTGTCTGCAGGATGTGGAAGGTCATGTCAAATGTGAGACTGAGTTCCGCGTCATAGGTGCGATACGTGCGATCTCCAGAAGTAGTAGCTAACAAACTGGAAAAGGCAAGTTCCTAACGGGATAATAAGCCTCTAAGATCGGTCCGCATTAAAAGAAATACGTGTAAATTTACTATAATACAAGACTTCCACGGAGACAAATATCAAACAGGAAGAAACGAGAAACACTGCCCAAGTGGAGATACCAAACGTCGTTGAACTTGTCCGCCGGAAATGCGCGACTCTTGCACACAAGGAGCGCCACTTGATAACTAGTTAACTAGTTAGTTAAGTTTAACTAACACTAAGATTAGATAAGCACACCTCAGAACCAGCCACACGCTAACCCATATAGAGCTAGTCCAGTAAAGCTGATATAATCCACGTAGTATGACGCAGCACGTGTCCTGCCGCGATTAAAGCCCGTCCTGCTTGATGGATCCCAACCAGAACCTCTTTTGGTCGGGTGTTGCAGTGAATTTCATCCCCTCTTTCATGTCCATACTTTTTGCTTTTGATATTGCAATTCGCCCTAGCTAATCCCTTGCATAATATCCCTGCTACAATGGCCACTGTCGTTCCCCGAAACTTTCGTTTACTGGAAGAGCTTGAAAATGGAGAGAAAGGGCGAGGTGCTGGTGTGTATATCGTTGTCCTGTCTGGCACATGTTGCGAGCTCGATGCTGACTATATCTGATACTGCTCTTAATAGAAGCCTGCTCCTATGGCCTAGCTAATGGAGATGATGTGACCATGACGAATTGGAATGGAACCATTCTAGGGCCTCCTCATGTTAGCCCGATACTTGTCTACATCAACTAGAAGCTCTCATTTTAACCGTGATTAATTAGAGTGTCCATGAGAACCGGATATACAGCGTCAACATTCAATGCGGTGAAAATTACCCTGACGTCCCACCGACTATCAACTTTGTGTCAAAAGTGAACCTTCCGTGCGTTGATTCTCGAACTGGTAAAGTATGCGTCCTTATCTCTAGCAAACTGGCAAACGATATGTTATAACAGTTCCACAGGTAGACCTGACGAAGCTACCTCGTCTTGCTGTATGGAAGCGAGAATTCACGATGGAGACGATCTTGTTGGAAATTAGAAGGCAAGCAAGCATGATTCCGAATATAATCCCCTCTCTATTCTAACTAAATCCATAGATTTATGGCTTTACCAGAAAACAAGAAGATCCCTCAACCCCCTGAGGGATCTAATTTCTAGATGAAACATTAGGATACCTCTCTCATTATGACTCAACGGGAGTACTGCTTTGGGAAGATGTGTTAAATGACTTTTGAGCGTGCTATGTATGATCCACCACATTTTATGAACGGATCTTTATCGTAAGCAGGGGGTTTGACCCGCCATAAACTTCGCAGTTCACAGGATATGAGCGTGTTGATTTTTTTTCTTCTTTTTTTCCCTGATGAATTATAAATCTTTTTTGGATATTTGTTGGCTTTTAATGCCATACTGAGGTGCCGCATCTACTCTATGTCTCTTTCGGATCTATCGAAATTCGAGAATGTACTAGATCATGTGACTTACATAGGTGCAACCGAATGAATCTGTTTCGGTTATTGATAAAGCTAACTCCAGGCACCTAAAGAGCTTTCCAAAGTTGCGAAAGATGTTGAATTAACGCCTACAAAGAATCCATTTTCGAATGCCCCCATTTCTGTTACCAAAGAGTTCGGGCGTCCATAGACTAGCATGTAGGTTCGTTACAGTGGATAAATGGCTGGATTCCTTTGACTTACAGCTCGTCCATAGGTCTTTCGCTCTATCACGCCCTCCTTTCCCAATCCTCCCGCCTGCGCTTAATCAACATCCAACCAGCACAAATACAAACCCTAATAAAGTCCAATTTCCACAAATATAAGCACTTGCAAAGCCCAAGCCAGATCGTTAACTCCTTGAAGGCGGGCTACGAAGTAAGCCTGACCAATCTTTACTGATGCATAATATTTCATACTAATAAAATATGCGCTCAAGGCATTGGATTTACTACATTCATGCAACCAAGGAAATACAGATAGCATTGACCGTCTTGGGCGCATTATTCAGCGCACCATTGATCTCAAAAAGGAAATCCACAAAAGCCGCGAAGTCCAAGCTGCCAACCACCGCCCCGAGAACCGCAACACCCACGCTCTTAGGAAAAGGGCAGAAGGCCGAGCAAGGAGACGTCCGGAAGCGCTCCGTCCGCACCCGGATACAGAACCTATCTTGTCCCGCCCAAGGCTACATATCAATGGGCCCCGCCACGTTCCCGTGCTTGTCGATGCCCGGGGTATTCCTTTCCTTCGAATCAAGAAGCCACAGCCCCCGAATTTGAGCCGTACAATCAGGAGCAAGTTAGATGCACGATGGAAAAAGATACTTCGTCAACAGAAGTTGGAGGATGACGTTTACCTCGCACAGCAGGAGGATGCGTGGGATCGTATGCTTGGCCAGCAAGATGAGGCTCGTTGGACTTCAATCGTTAGCGGGTACCTCGATTACACTATCAGAGCAATACAACATGAGGACCGAAAGAGCAAAGAACTTGTGCAGAAAATGTGGGAGATTGTGCTGAAGGAGCGTGAGCTTGCGGAGAAGGAAAGAGAGGAAATAAGGATGCAGCGACTAGCGCAGGCTGAATCTCTCAATACAGACCAGGCAGGGGCCATGCGATAGATGAAGTGAAGGATGTCTCTGCTAAAGGAAGTGGAGAAAATACCATCCCTGAATAGTTTCCCTCTCAATCGAACGAAGAATCACGCTCCTGATGGTATTACTGATGCACTGTGCCTGGTACAAGCTCATTCTTGATACAGGGAAATTTAAGGCCTGTGTGCCAAACTTTCATTGTCAGTGATCAAAGAAAGATGATAACATATAACTTTTGATATCCCTGAAAGTCGCTAATCACCAACTTTTGAGGGAATCTAGTTAACATGCAGTTAATCAGAACCACTTCCTCAAGCTCACGTAATTTCATATTGTATTAGAGCTCTTGCAGGCAGTCTCTCAGAAGAAACGGAGCAGAGCAACGATTCATTATCTAGTGCCTCAAACACCCACTCCTGGTAATGCAGAATAAAGTATATGCCAAGAAGACAAAGACAGATACGCAATACCAAGTATGATTGTTCTTCAGTCCTGTGCTGTATTATCTCCCAAGTCCATCTAGGGCTTTGCGCAATGGATTCAGGAACTGGCTCCAGTATGCTCAGTAATAAAGGTGCTGGTAAACACTATCCTAAAGTTGAAGGCACATACATGCGTAGTGCCTGATATTACTTACCTTCCTTAAAACAGCCGTCATTCTACTCCTGATATGATAGATGTTCTAAAAATGCCAGGTGTCCATTTCACATCGATTATATTTAAAAGGAAGACCTCAATAGCATATCATAATGATACAAGTTCCACCTTTTCCATATCTGTAGGGAGAGAATCAAGATCATCTTCATCATAGTCCACCTTACCCGCCAGTCCTCTCTCCCACAATTCTTTCCCTGTAAGTCTCTTCTCCTCTTTTGCAGCAGACTTCTTCTTTTTGTCTTCCGCCTCCCTCTCTTCTCGCGTCCTTCGCTCCAACTCCTCGATCTCCTTCTGGAACCTACTCCTCCACTCCAAAAACGACTCCCGCGTTACTCCAGGGCCGTGAAATTTGCGATTCTCTTCCTCTTCTGCCTTGGCAGCTTCCATTTCCTTTAATGCCCGAACAGCGGCCTGCCTCTCGGAAATAAGCAGCTCTGCGCCCTCCTTTAACATATCAACAAGGGAAAATATCATCGCCATCCCCATATTTTCTTCAATGGTGGTCTGCAACGACTCTAGGAGACGATCGCGGTCTTCCTGTATGTCAAAGTGGGGGTGTTTGGGTGCATTTGGAGTGGAGAAGAGTTCGAGGTCTGGAGCAACGTCTGGATATTGAGGCGGGTATGAAACCTGTAGTATGAGGACGGGAGGTTCTGCATCGTCATCATCACCTGCGGCATTGGCGACATCCAAGGTTATCGATATTCGATATGCGGTGTCAGAAATATCTGGGGTACATACATTAGTTCTCAGTGGAGGACCATAAAGGCGAGAAGGAGGATATACCTGTAATTTCATTCGGAAAAATCGACTTAAGCGTCTCCCGTTCTTCTTGCTGCTCTCCGATGCCCATTGTGTTTTCACGTTAATGGTGAAGCTCGCGGGAAGGGTAAGATCGGCGCGGGGTCGCTGGATCCGTAGATGGTTTTTGCGAAAGATCAGATCCCGGACAAGTATATATAAATCGCTCCAGGGTTCGAGGAAACTAACATGTACGATTAAATATCCAACTTCAAGATTTATTCTTCAAGGCATGCAATGAGTATTAACCCCGCCTCACATGCAAACAGAGCAAACACGAAAAAAATGTCGAGCGGACTTGATTAAATATCAACTAGATCAGCAGAAAGGGATAGTTCTTCATTGCAATTAGTTAAAAGGCCTAACATTTACATACTGCTATAAAACGGCAGTTGAGAAATGCCCATATGGCCAAAACGCGACCCTCAAAGAAATCCTTAAAAAAAAGAGCAAGATCCGGCTTTGATGGCAGCGGATCTGCTGCGAGGAAAGTGAAGGAAGATCCCGCAATTCTTTTCGACCAAGCCACTGTCCTCCTTCAAACCGGTCAACCAGAGGCCGCCCTTCCTCTCGCACAACATGGATTCGATATTGCTACGACTGGATCCCCTAATGCGCTCCTAGGGTTGAACTTGCTTGGCCAAATATTTGTTGAGCTGGGGGAGATTGAGGCTGCGCGAGAACATTTCACACGGGCAGTTGCTCTAGATCCGAATGGAGAAATCCCCGAGTCCGAAGGAGGTGGCGCGGAGAAATTCCTATGGCTGGCGCAATTGAGCGAAATTGGCGGAATAGATAGTGTGAACTGGTTCGAAAAAGGGGTAGCAATCTTACGACAGAGAATACAATTGTTAGAGCAGAGCGGCAAACCTGATGATGTTTTGGCTGCGCAGGAACAGAAGAAAAAGTTGGCGCATGCTTTATGTGGAGTGGTAGAAATATACATGACAGATCTATCGTAAGTCATTTGGATCAGAGTTTGAAGGAGTGCCAGTACTGAAACGGAGCTTTTGAAAACAGATGGGAAGAGGATGCCGAAGCCAGATGTGAAGCTCTGGTTACGGAGGCGCTTATGGTTGCTCCTGATTCGCCGGAATGCTTGCAGACGCTTGCTTCAGTGAGAATATCACAACTTCGGCCTGATGATGCCAAAGCTGCTTTGTCGAGAAGCCTTGAGTTATGGAAAGATCTACCGCCAGAAAGCCCCTTGGTCCCAGACTTCCCCGCAAGAATAAGTCTTTCCCGGCTTCTGATGGAAGCCCAGATGGAAGGTGAAGCGATCGAAGTATTAGAGAGAATGGTTCTTGAAGATGATCATAGCGTTGAAACATGGTACCTGGGAGGATGGTGTCTATATTTGTTAGGGATGAGTGAAAAGCTTCCCCCTAATAACGGGAACCTCCCAGAGGTCGAACTACAACAATCTACACTACGCTCCAGCCGAAGTTGGCTCAAGCAAAGTCTAAAACTTTATGAGCTGGTTGGGTATGAGGATGTGAAGTTGAAGGAACATGCTGAAGAACTCGTCCAAGATCTTCAGAATCAACTAGGAGATGTTGATGTCGATAGCGACGATGAGGAAGATGTGGACGGAGAATGGGAAGATGAAAGCAAATGTCTAGATGATGACGATGACGGTAATAACAAAGATCAGAAAATGTCAGATTCATGAGAGCAGTTAAAAGTAAAGATATGATAGGATTTTTGTTTATAACTTAAATATCAGCTTTTTAGATACCAATTTTAGAGAAAAGAAGGGTAGCTTTTCCACAGGATACATGGAATACAAGGGCAGATTCATGAATCCATTTTTATAAGCTTCCCATTCATTACCTATCCAAAACATTCTCATAGCTTTGTTTCAGGGAATGCGGCGGAGCCGGATTATTACAAATCCGGGTTTCCTCAGAGTTAACTAGTTAACTCTCGATTGTCGCCGTTAAAGCTGCGAAATAATACTACTTTAACCACCCACGGCCAACCACCACCACCACCACCACCAATGTAAGCTGGAACGGCTTGCTACTGGTCGGGCACCATCCTGCTTCTCGTGATGGATCCAGTGCCGGCGCCTGCGGTGGACGAGCTCCGCCTGAAAGCTTCCGTGGTGGAGGTGACAGCAAATGATGGGCCGATATCAACAACTCCGCAAGGACACCGCCCCGATGTCGCTGGGGGCGTGTCACAGCCCGACTCTGACACTGAAGACAGTGATTTCGACACATCGGAGGACTCCGAGAGCTCCGGTAATAACTGGGAAACAAAGTCTCTTTACGAAGATTCTCTACAGTTCATCCGCGATGACCAGTTACATGACGGTATGGGACTTGTTTCCTCAGCCCCCGGTCAGACAAAAATAAGCAAAAACTGATCCAAAGGATTCTGTAGTCCCAGGGACATGCACATTAGCGGAGGCTGTCGCCTTTCGAAAGCGTCTTCATGCGATAGGGAAGGCTGCATTTGCGGAGGAGACCATAGGGCAGGGAACAATCACTGCGAAAAAACTTTGCACTGCATTTGGCATCATGCCTCCCTCGTTCCTTGAAGGCGCGCCAGACAGGGCGTACCATCCCTTACTCGTTATGGGAATTAACCGCGAATATTCAAGACGGATCAAACTACCAAATTACAATACTATCGATGATGCTGTCGAGCTGTTGAAAAAGGCAACGAACATTATCGTCTTAACTGGCGCTGGTGTAAGTACCCTGAAAGCTTTACTTGTAATAAAAGATTAGACAAAGGATGCTAATGCAAGGGTTCCCAGATATCTACTAGTCTTGGAATTCCAGACTTCCGTTCGAAAGACACCGGCTTGTATTCGAAGTTAGAGTATCTCGGATTGACCGACCCCCAGGAAGTTTTCGATATTAACTTGTTCCGTGAGGACCCCAAAATATTCTACTCCATTGCAAAGGACATTCTTCCGACGGAAAAGAAGTTCTCTCCAACCCATGCATTTATTCGCCTCCTTCAGGACAAAGGGAAACTGCTCACAAATTTTACCCAAAATATTGATAATTTGGAAGCAAATGCAGGGATTCTGCCCGAAAATCTCATCCAATGTCATGGATCCTTTGCAACAGCTTCCTGTGTGAAGTGCAAATTTCAGGTCCCGGGCGAACAAATTTTCGACAGTGTTAGAAAAGGGGAGCTTCCCGAATGCACTGCTTGCAAAGAGCGAATCAGGAACCAACTTTGCGGAATGAAAAGAAAGCGTAACTCGAACGGAGCCCATCGCAAACGACAAAACTTTGGCGATAGCTCCGAGGATGATAACGACTACGATATTCCTTCTCCTGGAGTCATGAAGGTGCGCTATTGTCGGCTCCCCGAATACAAAACACGTTCCGGCTAATTTGCCGGTTTTGCTAACTGGAATAGCCTGATATTACTTTCTTCGGTGAAGATCTCCCAGATGCGTTCTCGCAACGCCTAATTGGTCACGATCGTGAACGTGCAGACCTTGTCATTGTTATCGGTACATCACTGAAAGTGGCACCGGTTGCAGAAGTTCCTGGCATTCTACCTCGCAATGTTCCCCAGATATTAATTTCACGTGACGTATGTAAATGGGCAATTACAATCTTTATATCATTGAGTGCTAATTTCCCCTATTTACAGCCTGTGTCACATATTGATTTCGATATCGACATGTTGGGTGAATGCGACGTTGTTGTCTCTGAACTATGCCGTCGCGCCGGCTGGGATTTACAACACGAGATGATTCTCAAAGACCAGAAAGTCGACATTACATCGAAGGAAGGTTATGTCTCACGATTTTGGTTTACAGCTGTTAATCCATAGAATAGTCTTTTCCCTTTCTTGTCCTATTTAATTTCTTCGGTTCTCACTTCATTCCTACAAAGTTTCTCTCATCGTTCATCTTTTCTTCATTTTCCAGTGTTGTCAGTTCCCCAAATCTTTTCGATAGATTTTCGCCTTTATGCACTTTCCTGTGTTTGGCCTTTCCTTTCTCACAATTTTCTGCTCTGCCTGTTGGATTTGTTTCTCCTTTTTACCCTTCTTCGCATAGATGTTTCTGTAACAATACCTCTCCACATTTGTCTGCACACTTTGTTCTCCCAATATCCCCTTCGGTCCTGTTATTGCTTGCATTCTTCGTCGGGAATTCGGTACGGTTGGGTTTGCACTGTCAGATGGACTAGGTTCTATTAAGTTTTAGGGTTGCGTCAAGGTTTTTTCTTTTATGACTATGCGGATGGATTGTTAGGGTGGATATCTATATCTTTTTTTTTTGTTAGTGAACACTTCACTCTGTATATTTCCGGCTTGTCTGCTTGATGTCCTATCTGTTGTTCGTAAATTCCCAACTCTGGAAGCCAAGAATACCACGGATGTTCTCATACGAATCCGAATGAAAGTACGGAAACTGACAATGTAAACGATTGACCCACATAAGATCTATGCCATCGTACCCTAACTTCAAAACCAGATTTTTTTTTAAACCTAGAACATATTTCATTTACATTAAGTTTTCATTTGGTCCAGTCACCCGCCCAAAAAGAGGAGAGAGAAACACGACTCTGGTGCAATTCCATACATCAATCGCTAACCATTAAAAAATATACGCAAATGGGTATAAATCTATGGCTCACATGATTTCATAACAATACATATATACACCATACCCACATAAATTCTAAGTGGAATTCCTCCTCTCAAAACTGGGTCTTTCTATCCTCTTCTCACTACCGTCCGTTGATGTATTCCACCTCTCATCCATGCTCTTTCTTTCCTTGTCATTTTTCCTCTTCTTATCAACCTTCTTTATCGCTTCTTGCGTTAGCTCTTGCCGGAACATCTTCTCAATGACTTCTATTTTTCGTGTCCTGCGGCCCCCAATCCATATCACAACGCCAGCAGCAACATTACACGAGATGGAGCAGCAGAGTATCACAGTTGTGAGAGCAAAAGGACGCATTTTGTAATATATGCCCCATGTGCATGCACCCAGCGCAATCTGGAATAGAGAATGGAGATCCAGCAGCACAATTGTGGCGACGAGAAGGCGCAGGGGAAACGCAGTGTGTGTTGTTGTCTCATGTGGTTTGTAAAATGTGTGAGATTTCGAGAGTTTCTCCTGATGGTGTTCGAGACGCTTCTCTTGCTTTGGGGTAAGGACGGAATATTCTTCAGGTTTGTCTTTCTCTCTGTTATCGCCGTTGTGGATGTTGTCATTGTCCTTGTTTGTTTGTGTAGCCATTTCGACGTCGATGTCATGATTTACGTTGTCAACTGCCCTTACCGGAAGGTCATTTTTGTTCTCGAGTTTTGGGAGTTCTTTTTCCCGTCGCAGTCGCCAGGTGAGGCGGGCATAGTGAGCTACAAAGACCATGTGGTAAGTATCTATAGCACGGAATGGGGCGAGCCCGTCTCCTACTACAGCAAATAAGGCGACAAGAACGTTGTCGATGACGTTGATGATGTAGAGCTGGCGGCCACCAACATTGATCCAACCTACAAAGTACAATGGCATTAATTTGGGGTTAAGTGGACTGGGAGCATAGTACTTTGATTGATAGGGTTATACACATACCTATTAGGAACAAAACCCATGCAAGCCCGAAAAGAGTAATCAAAGTCGCGTACAATGTGACCAAAAAACCAAGCGCTGCACACCAATTTTCGTTAGTTGTTCGTCACCCTGATACATATTTAAATGTTATCACTTACGTTTCCGGACATATTGCCCAAATCCCTTCATAGAGCGTTTGAACTTAGATCTTCGCGAATGAAGCATATGCCTGACATGATCGTTGAGTTCTAGCTTTTCTGCCTCACTCCAACCCGTGAGTGTCTCTCCATCGGGTAAGACGGCGAAACACAACTCATCGATCACCGCTGATCTGGAACTTTGTAAACGTAAACGTCGTGATATACTTGCATCATCTGTGTCCAGAGTCTCTTGGTCGCTCTCACGCTCCTGCTCGGTGGAAGATTCGTCATGAAGACGAGGAGTCAAGGAATATAGTGGTCTTCGATTCAAAAAGTTCCCAAGATCAGGGATGAAAAGCGAATTCTGCACATTGGCAAGGGTAGTGAGTGTTGAAATTTCAGGGTCTATTCATCTTGTCAATTTCCGATTGGGATAGAGATGTCAAGTTAGAGGATTTATATACCAACAACATCGAGAAGATCCACCAGTCCAGTGTCGTATTCGTTAGGTAACCTATTTGATGCTGCCCTTACTTCAGTGCCGTTGACCGTGGAAGCACGAGTCAACCCCAGAGACGACAATGCAGACACGCTTGCCCTACGCAATTTCGTTCGGTTCTGAGATAGCTGGGGGCCTGCACCTAATTGTGGCGACACATTCTTCGATGGTTCCTCCGCCACGGGAAACATTGGTGCATAAATTGCCGCAGTTGGAATGGTATTAGCCGAGGGTTCACCAAATATCTGCCTCCGCTGAGGCTCTGAGCTGCTTCGACGTCGAGTTCTGATATCCACCACATTGTCCTGAATGGGGATATTGTCGACTTGCAAATTAGATAGTCGCGTCACCGACTGTGCGGAGGGCCGCCGTAGCACTCGTATACTGGGTCTTTGTGATCGTGCTAGGAGCAATGCGCTTCGGGTCTCGTTCGAGGCTCCAGCGCCCGAGGATGCAGGAGGTGGAGGTGGAGGAGGGATTGATATCTCCTCGAAGATGGCATCGTGAGGGGCCTCCGTGCGATCCATGAATATCAGAGATATTGGAGATTTTGTTGCAACGTGTATCTGCACTGGCATGCTACCATATATAGATGGAAGGGCAACAACAACCTGTAAACATAAGCACATTGCGCACACATTTTCAGGAACAGGTTGAAAGTCCCACGGTTTGCTTCTTAGCCTTCCAAGTTCGATGTCACCAAGAATGACTAAAAGATCCATGCTTGATCTGCTCACGTCATAGTGCTCGAGGTTGGCTGGTTGGTGTTTAATAATCTGCATAGTAGTTCCAATTCGTGGCTAAAGAAAGTCAACGACGTCAGTCGATTGGATGTAGTTAACAAAAGGCCTTAAATTATTAATCCAGCAGAGAGGGGACGCCATTGTGAGAACGGGCATTGAGTCCAATCCTTCACCATAACTTGGAGATGTAGTTAACTATCTGACTAATTTTCAACGAGTTAAATATTCAATGTGATGCTCATATTCAATGTGATGCTCAACTATTGTGGTGGAAGGATTTCTGTTGAAAGATGAGGTTTCTCCGCGATATTAGCAAACCAATATCAAAACACATCAAAAAGATCATGTACTTCAAATTATTATAGAATCTTTCAATATTTGTAACGTGGGCGGCGCCGCAGTGGTGTCTCTGCAGTGACGTCATGTAGCTGAGGGTGGTTGATACTGAGAAACTGTAGTTAGTTATGGGTGAGCTTGACCAACTTGCTGCTGATCTTAATATGCTTATGACAGAGGGAGATACTGTCTAATCAAGGATGTTCATAATCATACAGAAACTCATATGCTTCAGTACCTCAAATATCCTAGATGTTATATACTGGCTCTCAGAATGATGAGTCAGATAATAACCTAAGTTAAACCAACCAGTTAACTAGTGTAACTAATAACTTCTCCGCACTGCTGTTGCCCACGAGGTCGTGTCAAGGCATTCCATGAGATTGTACCAAGGTGCTTGTGACAGCACGTAGTTACACCAACGATTTGCGCATTATGGTATGACCTCATCGTTTCTCTCTTTTACATGGGATCTGCGCGTGAAGGTCATTATTTTGCCTCTGGACGCAGCAAGGGGACTACAACTCGGCCACTTTCTAAGGGCCGTCTTTTATTTGTTCGCCTAATTGCTGCGTTTCAGGGACACGCACTTGTTCCTACTGTGTAGGTGGTTCCCATCGGCATGATCACTGAATGCTTTCAATATGAAACAAGACATAGGGTTGAGGCTCAAAATCTCCGATCGTTGTATCATCCTGTCAATCGCATTTTCTGCAACTCTCAAGCTGTGGAAAACATAGCCTCCTGCTGAAGATCGCCTTTTCAGCACAATGGAGTCGATCTCTTTTCTTCAGCGCGATTCGTGCTTAACGTATTCCTAGATGCCCAACGTGGCTCTTCCCCTTTCTGCAGCCTGGTCTACGAACCTTCAACGCAATGCGTTCGACAATTCTGATAAGGCACTTGGGACTGCGCTTAGTACAGCTGCTATTTTCAATCTTTTCTTGGCTAACTACCAGTTGTTTACCAGAGGCCCGAAGAATAATGCAATGAGAGCAAACCAATACCACTAGCCTTATAATCCATATGGTTTTCTTGACTGGTATATACTCAAGCAATATATCAGGTTGCTTCGCCCAGCGTCAACCATCTGCTTCACTGGCAGAAGGCTTTTCGTGTCTCAACATAAAGTCATATATGTGGTGCCAATTATGAAATATCTGAATCCCGCAGAGCACTCCATAGCCATAAGGGGTTTGATCAGAATCTCAATAAAAATGCTACTTGGATAGGGGACATCCAGACCTCTCCCCATCACACTTTTATGCTAATCTCACCGGCCCCTTTATCACCCTACTCATCAAGGGGCGACGATTATCTATCTTCGATCGACATTCAACTGGAAGCACCTCCCAAACCAGCCATGGCGAGCTTCGACGTGTGGAGCCCCATCATTTCCTTCCTCGCCATGATCCAGTATATAAACGCGTTGGTCGGCGCCCGGGGGGAGATGCGATCAGTTGACGGTATTATAAATTGCACTTACGACGTCTTTCTTACCGTCAAAGAAGATTTTGAAAAGCTCCAGGAATATCTACCCAGTTCACGCAAACGATACTTCGAGCGCCAGATCAACCGCACCGAGAGAGAATTGAAAAAGGCGCGAGATATACTGGATATTGAAGAAGACCAAAACATGGGGAAACGACGGATCAACGATATCTATTGGGTCCTGAAAAGGAAGGCCGATCTACAGATTTGTTTGACTGCTCTTCATCAATGTCATAGCACGCTGTTGGAAATACGGTTGGAGTTGGCTATCTTGGAAAACAAACTGCCATGGGTCACAGATCGTTTTACCCTGGAGCCAAGAACGTTGTCATATCCACGTTTAGGATCATCTGGAGATATGAATAATGTGCAGGGGAGGCTAAAGTGGGCTCAAGGTAGGCTATCCATTTCTGTTTATTTCCGTATCATGGACACACGCAATCACTAATTACTCTTGGAATGTATTTTAGGAGACTACTCAAATGGTAGTATACTGACTCTGCCAACCTCGATGCGTCAACGAAAACTCCTCACGAGCCCACCATTAACCTCCCGCAGCGGTTCCTCAACGATCTCCCCGCAATACTCAGCTGTAGAAGAGATGAGCTTGTGGCTTCTACAGAAGCGCCGCGATGATGTGTTTATATGAAGGATTTGAAGGATTAGGAGAACATGGTCGACGCCGTGATTCCTGATTTCTCGAGATCGATTTTCCTGCCCCCCTTGAGGATGATATCTGTGTTTCCAATTTTACTTACGCGTTTATGACCTTATGAGCTGCAACGGATTGGATCGTGAGAAGTTGAATTAATTTTGGTATTGAGCTATTTCTGTTTTATTCCTGACCAGCTGAAACTGGCTGGTTCAAGAATATACTGACTACTTTTGCCCCCCGGGAAATGCTAGGGTGCTAGCTAGAGAGGGAAATGAAATTCTATTGGTATAATAATCGGAGTAGGCTGACAGGCACCCGCAGTCCAGGAAATATTTACTCCAAAAAAAAAAAAACCCTTACAAATATCAGTAGCTTGCCTCCAAAAACTCTTCTCGACCTCTCATTACAGTTGGGAACTGAATATCACTCCCTCCGTGCCAACTGAAGGTCCAGTTTGCAGGATGCCTGCCCATCATATCCCCTATCATCCTCGCTGTTTTACACAAAATGAGAAGGTGATCGTCTCGTCTTTTGTCAGTGGGATCATTAGCGTACTTCACGAGTGCGCCTGCAAGATTCTCCGCAACTCTGTGATCTATGTTGGATTACCCCATAACGTATAAGCGACATGTTCAGAAATGCGAGGTATTATTTCGGGGGAAGGCTATGAAAAAAATAAAAAGAAAAGAAAAGAAAAGAAAAGAAACAATGTGTTTGTACCGTTCATGTGCTTTTCAATAACATTGCTAATAATGGTACGTGCGATATATCTAGAAATCAATGCCCCGCTATCGTCCCGCTGAGTGCGATAGAAGTTAATCGAGTGTTGATCGATAAATAATCTGAACGCCGTGACCTCATCCCGGATCGTGCTATCTTCTGGTGGCTGCTCGTCAGGGATAGTTCCCAGGGCTGTTGAGCGACGCTTGTGTGCTTGTGTGCCTCGTCGCGACGGCACTTTCGATCCAGCATAAGATTGGGATCTCGAATGGGTTCTGGACTGGGTCCTCGATTGATTCCTCGACTGTGTTCTAGACTGAGTTCTTGAGGGTGCTTTCGAAGCCGCTTGGGATGGGGCTACTGTTCGTCTTCCACCCCCAGTTCCGGAGACAGGTCTTCCTTGGGATCGCGCGCTTTGGGATGGCGGACGAACCGCTGGCCGGGGCTTATCGAATGTTGTATCGAGGGCATCACCATCTTTTTGAATTTTGCTTGAGCCGCATCCCATTCTATAATAACAGGCATTGCTTTTTTAAGTAAAAGTTGAGTGACCTAACAACATAGTTCTCGGTGCAAAATGAATGGTGTGGGGGAAAAGATGCATTGGCTATGCACCAGGACTGCCAGCGAAACAAGGGTCCGTGTCTGTCAATATAAACGCCAAGGTGGCGGTCGATCTGGCGGAACACGGTATGATAGCTTCACCACTCCGTCTCTGAGGCCATAAAAAATGGACTGATTGCTTTCAGATGGGTTTTTTTTTTTTTTTTTTTTTTTTTTTTTTTTTTTTACATCATTGCTACGCTGTTGAAGGCCGGGTTGTCACTTAGAAGTTTCAGCGTTCTTCTGGGACTGTCCTTGACACGTTGACCCCTGAAGATGATCACCCATTCATAACTCATTGATTAATTCATCATACAAACAACATGGGAAAACAATGTGTAATTTCGCTAACTATTCTACATAATGATTTTATATGACATCAATCATCAGCATTTGAAGATGTCAAGTCATTGAAAAAACAACAGTTTTACACCCCGCCCAGTTGGTAACGTAAGTGCTATGTGTTTACCTGTTGGACAAAAGATTATCTAGATATTAGCTTTCGCTTTTCGCAAGGTAACTAAGTGTTGGTCGTTATCGGCTTTTTTTTTTTTTTTTTTGGGAAGAATGAGCAAACATCTGTATGTTTACACGAGTTGTGGGTAGTGGTGACACTTGACAGCCATCCCCCCCGCCTCCAGGGCTTCTTGATAACAGCAGCTACGTGGTACAGCTAACGTTAATACAACCCCCATCAAGCGGTGTAGTGATTGTTGTTGTTGATGTAGATGTGGTGGTGCCAGTGTATTGTCAGTTCAACGGCGCAGGAGTGGGGCTGCAGTGGGGCTACTGCTGGGGGGGTATTATGGGAACCTCGGGCACGCCCCTATTAGGTAATCCCATTCAGCCAAAACTTATTTTTCCGCTGGTAAACCAACCAGTTACCCCCTTGAAAAATTGAAACCACATCCCACCTCTTGATACATACCACAAGAACGAAAACAGGGCCAAAAAATGGAGAATCCCGTGGGCTAGATACAAATGCCGCTCTGAGACTCTTTGCGTTTGAAATAGGGTAAATCAAATTCTCGATGGTGACATGACCACGTTCCCTCCTATGAAAGTTGGGATGTTCAAGCTGATATTTTGGGGTGTGCTAGGCCTAAAAAGCACCAGAATTTCGGTAAATACGCCCCAAACCTCAACTAAAAGCTTTACCCACACATAGTGGTCGTGGGTATTGAAACCTACTTGGATAGCTATGGCCTAGCGAGGTCCCGGTCAGCCCCCCAAGCCAGCCTTAAAACGGATGATCTGGGCGGTGTTTGGGTTGGGAATATTAGCGTCCCCGCAGGGTTTGTGATTTTAGCCCACTGATGACGCAGGGGAGCCCAAAGTGAAGGACGTGGTACAAAATAAATCGTTTCCCAGATCGATTTTGTGCCGGCTTATGGTTTTGCTCTGACGTGGCGTGGAGGCTGCATCAATGATGACTTTGTGCCACCTTCGTACTTTGATAAATATGCCAATGTCTGCATATTCAGTCCAATAGTTACACAGAAAAGCTGAGAACATGCATGTCAGCCAAGGCCTCTGCTTCGCTGGCTAACTCACCGTGACCGTTTTCTCGAATCAACAAACCTTGAAAAAAAAAATTTATATAAATAAAAATAAATAAAAATAAATCGGACTAATATCATGCCCTGGATGAGTTTGCGTCGCTTACTACTCCGATCAAGCATTTTCTCACTTCTGCGAGCCTTGCCCATCAACTTTGCTTTAATTGGCCTACCATGGAGTTTTGAATTGATGCCTTGCATTCTGCAGTGTGGAAGCTTTTGAATAATGTCTTTCAGACTTGAGAATTCATATCTTGTTTCTCAGCATTTCGCTGATAGAAGACCAGATACATTCAAACAATACTCAGTATCGGCCAGTTTCTTTTAGGTATTTTGTTACTGGACCTCGTTGCAGCTGTTTCCAATAGCAGGATCAAAACCTTTTTTTACATATGGTGGGGTATGGGAGTATTATCGGGAAACACCTGGTGACGGTGTAGCCTCCCCGTTTGCGGAGGAGAAACAATCGATATGGAAAAGTCCAACGCAGTTCTGGAGGACATTGACTCCCCTTTATGGGACTTTTCATATATTTGGTCATTCAAAGGGTTTGACATTGAAATGTCTTCAGATCCTATGGACACGGATCAGTCAATCCGCGTTAAAAAGACCGAAGTTCTTGCTCCCGCACACACAGGGAACAACTCCGTAAGCTATTCTTGGAATGTTTATATCTGGAATTTTAGCTAATCAGGGTAATAGAGATTCTGTGTTACGCCTGATTCTTGTCAAGAGTCTCTCTTAACCAGCCTTTTGTCAGCACCAATATTCAGTGGCCCGGAATGCGAAAAGCCCGCATCTAATGTGAGATTTCTGAATTTTCATGAATATCAGAGAGAAAGCGCTAATAGTGTCGTGTCTCAGGAGTCGCTCGGTTTGTTATTGCCCTCCAGGGAAGAGCACGAAGACAAAGACTACACTCAGATGACTAACACTAATTTCTCCGCCGAAAGCACCGATAGCACTGGAGGTAAATGTGCAGCCCTACAAGATGAGAAAGAATCTATCAACGATTCTAGAGAAATGTTGGGGCCACACGATTGGAATTCAATAACGTCCAGATGCTCTTACGATGGAGATGCACGTTGTCTTAATGACTCAAGTAGCGGTTTATCATCTCGAAAACCTTCAATTTCAACATCATCACGGCATGTACGCCAAGAGCGTCCAGTCATGTCTGGTCTTGCATCCAAAATTAAAGGATGGATGACATCGCGAAGGGATACTGCCATTGATAGCTTAAATCGAAGAGCTTCTAATCAAAATTTCCCACAACGGAGGACACTTGGTAGTTGGACGACGTTCAGGGCAAAACAATATCTGAAAAGCCCATTACCCAAAACACCAACAAAACTCCCAGCACAGGCTAGTTTTGAGACAGATCTTGAACCTCCGGTTTCGGACCCCCCAACATCCACAGTTCAGACTTCTGATCTCCATGAGGCATTTTCGCTTCAGCATTCTAATTCCGTTGCGAGTTCAATCACCTCCAGCGTCGTCGCCAAAACACTAGCAAGGTCTCAATGCATCCCACGAAGCTTTCATAAAACCGAATATGGACGACCGCACCTAAACCTGGATGTCCCAATAGTGGAAGAAAGGGGCCCTCTTCCTTTCCAGTGCACTTTCTGTTTATTGCAATGCGAGAACAAAGAGAACTGGATCGACCATGAGCGAAATGTTCATATGTGGCGGCCAAGGTCTTCACATCAACCCATCCGGGCTGCAAATTATAGCGGAGCATCCAGGGAATGGCTGGAATCCAAACGTGACTGGTTTTGGAACTGCGGATTCTGCGGTATCCTTCTCCAATCATGGGATGAGCGTCAAACCCACTTCATAGTGCACTTTGAGGATAAGGAGACGATGGCATCTTGGAACCCACTTCAAACGCCTTACCCTTTGGATAAATTCTTGCTAACTCCTGTCATTGGCTTTCCGCAGTGGAGTCCAGCTCCATTGCTGTCAAACCAACAAGCTCGGATACGAGATTTTGTGAATTTGTACGTGATGCTGTTCCTTTTTGTCTCTTTTCACAACACAAATGTTTACTAGCAGGTAGATACTAATTGCATCTTTAAAGTGCTTTCGACCCACGACTCCCATGGTGCAAAGCTTGTAAAATACCGCTCACAAACTGCAACACCTATGAGGAACACATAAAACAATGGCATTCTCCCCCGATAGCCTGGCGATGTCTGAATCTCGAACATGCTGAGAGACCTGGCTTATTTTTCGAGACTGTCGACGAAAGCCGTATAGACACCACATCTATACAAGAACATCCCTTAGTCCCCGAAACCTTCAGTGGGACAACTGTGAACGGTTCCAGCGATGGCGACGCCACTTGTTCTTCCGATCATTCGGGCTGTTCGAAGTCTGCGTTTATTCCTGTAGAAGACGAGTTCCCTGCCGTTAGGGCCTACGAATATTGCCTCCTTTGTGAGAATATCTTCCATTCAAACTCAACGGATCTAGAGGAGGAGCACAAGAGACACTTGCGGGAAACGCACAACTTGGATGAAACGAAGCGAGGTTCCAAATTCTTCAATGAAGGGCAATTTTTGCTCCATTTAGCTAATGGCCATGGCGTCACCCTAGCCCATTTGGCTACTTTGGCGGAACATAGCAGCCAGAAAAATCGTGCACTGGCAAATTGGACGCCGACGGATTTCATCTGAAGAAACTATGCACTCGCAGCTGACCGAGATGCCTTGCACCAACTTTGTATTCATTAAAATGATTCCTTTGTATTTGTATACTAAAATTATCTTTCGTTCGTTCCTCTTTGGCCTTCGAGCCTTACTTTCTGTGAGAACTATTACTATTTCCTAATTTTATTTTTATTTTTATTTTTTTAATCTGACATTTAGATACATTAGTTAAAAAACTCTTAGCATATTTATCGTGAAGTTAGCTGGTATCACAGCTTCCTTAATAGAACTCCTTTCCGAACACCGTGCCATGCACGAGATATGTACGTATGTAGTCCGTATGGACCAGTTAAGTCAACAACAGTATATCGAAGCCAATCCTTAGTCGTAAACAGCGAACGAATCATTTATCCTTTGTCCCTCCTGCATGTCCACAGTTTGACCAATCCACGGGCCACGAAGCCTGGGAATCTAGGCTTATAGCCTCATCAATGCTTGTATACTGCCAATTCACTGGAACTTCGTCACTCTCTCCAATCACCATATCCTCAAACCAAACTTCAAACTTCAAGTGCGATGACCCAATGACCAAACGCACCTCGTACTGAATTTTTAAAAACTCCGGATTTCGCTTGGAACCCCACCATTTCTGCACTTTAACAGGCTTTGGGTGTTGCCTAAGCAGTTCCCGGCTCACTCTTGAGTCGATTTCGCAGATGATGCGAGCATCACCCTCGTTGCTGGTCTGCGGAAGGCGGGTTGCAGGGGACTGGGACATGGCTATCAAATCTTTCCAGGATATCTCAGAACTGTTGTTATCAAAGACGCGGTTGAACTTCTGGCTTATGTATTGGCGCTGGTGGATAAGCTGGTCCCGTTTGATAAGCCATTCGATCTGGTTCACGGCATATCTTTTCCGATCATATGGGCTGATTTTTATGCCCTCGCTTTGGCGTGGAGAACGTTTGTTTTGACTGAGTCTGTTGTTGAAAACTATGCCGTACGAGTGACAACTCCTGCGACTTGATATGATGGAGTGTCCGTATCGCAGGCGGTGAATCCGGTCAATTACCAGACCTCTACAGACTGCTAATTGACTGTAGGATCGGTCAGTACATCGTATGTTGGATGGGCAATGCGGGATCAGTCCTCACGGGTCTTCTGATATTAAAATCCGTTTCGCTGCCTTCCCATAACCGTATTCCCTTTTGAAGCAATCCTGAACATAGGGAGAGGATCCGAGGCCCCCGGAAAGGACAAAATGGGTCTGTCGTCTGTTGGTCAAAAAAAAAAAAAAAAAAAAAAAAAAATTGACACTCGAACGAGAGGAACAGAAAGTAAACATACCACTTTTTCAGACGGTGAGAGTTCTCGAATACGTCGAAGCTGCTCGTCAATCATCGAAAAAATGCGACAGATCTGTTCATCGAACAACTTTCGGATATCATCCCTTTTGTGTTTGTTGGCTATTCAAATCCAGTCAAGAGGTAAAAGAACCGCAAATTTTTGGACATACCCTGTTAGTATTATTCTTCCATTTTCGAACCCTTCTTCGGGATTGTGATAAGCCCTTGGAAGGCCTGGTACGTAAGGGGCGATTTTATTTAAAACAGATTCTATCTGGTAACCAAAATTTTCCTTGATGGTCTGAAAGCTACCTTTGGTCAAATCTCGCGCTGCATACTTCAAAGACCAACTAACGTTTTCGCTGTTGTAATCGATACATTTTAAACGGGTTTCAATTAGCCTTTGGAAGGCCTGGTCGATCCGGACGGAGCCAATTGGCCTTCCTACACATATGCAGATGTGAGCAGTGCGGAGACGAATGGGTGAGAGAGAAACCATAGTTACCATTGACGAAGTCAAGTTGTTCCAACTCAAGCACCTCCTCAGTATGACCTTCGCGAATTTCAAATTTTTGGGTGGAGAGGACTTTGAGAACGGATACGTCCTGTATGTCTGTAGTTAGCGGACCAATTTCAGCTGGGACAGGAGAGAGCGCTCACAGTTGTCCCTCCTCCAGCATCGCAAATGAGAATGACATCACCCTTTCGAATGCGCTCCTCATTTCCAATCGCCAGTTCCCTTCTTCCTTTCGGACTTTGGATCGAACGTTGATTTTTGAAATTTTTTGCTGAATAAACAGCGGCGGCAGCTGCTTCAGATAATTTAATCTCCACCGAGTGGGCAGCGCATTCACCAAACCCCGCCCTTGTCACAGTTCTGCTGAATGTCTCAACGACCTTCGAATTTTGCCAAGTTGTAGGGAAACTGAAGAGGTATTCCACGGGGTGTAACTTCCAATCGCCCATCACATCATTAGCGAACACTTCTGCGTTTCTTATATATTTAATGATGTATTGTCGTAGAGCCGTCAAAAAGTCGACAAACCACAGTTGGACGTCTTCATTCGTCCAGAAGACTTCGGGGCTGTTCTCAAGCCCATCAGTGTGAAAGTCAGGATCCAGATACAATTTGAAACAGTCTATCACATCCATTCCACGATGCAGTTCCTCTGGCTCATCAAATCCCCATGACACAGGTTTCATGCAACCTGCTCGATACCAGAGTTTGGTCGGCACCTTTTTGGCGACCTCCTTGTTTCCCGGCCACCGATCCACGTCAAGCGGAGTGTCCATGTCTCTGGTCGAGAAAGCGACTCCTAATAAGGAACAGCCAGGTTACTTTAGTTTCAGTTACATCGTGAAGAAACGACATTGCATGCGTTTGTTATCGGGTGTCGCCCAGAGACGTATACACAGCGCACACAGGGAGAGCAGAGAAGATGCTGCTAAAGAGCATACCTGTGTGAGTCAAGCCAACGTCAATACCAACGTAGATTGTTTCCAGTGACATATTGCGCAACGCCATTATGGAATATACAACAAGCCAAAGGCAGAAAACAATCAAAATGAAACGATTAAGGAGTGAATTGGTCGGAAGATAGAATACTTCAGAAGATAGATCAAGCCCAGCTTGCTTAGTATATTAAAATCAGCCATAAGACTTCCTGTTAAATTCCTCTCCGGCGGCTATTATATCAGTGGATTGTGTCTGCTATCCCATTGGAAAAAAAAAAAAAAAATCTGCAGCAGAGCCCCCTGACGTCAACAGCGGGGGTAGCAACTTTCCACATTTCATCGTCGGTTTAACAAATTCAGTCTGGATCGCTGTCATTCATTCTCTTTGTTAGGGACCAATTGAATAAACCATGGCTGCTTCATGGCTGCCTCCTAGCAAATCCGAGAGATAGCCAAATCATCGAATTCTGTCACCCCGCGAACTCTCACGGTCATGTGGTGGAATCATCCTGTTGGCAGTGCGTTCTGTATCTACTCGGACAAAACATCGCATTTGGAATTGGGCTATGATCTCCAGAGAAAACCACGATACGATCTGCAGCGGAGATATCCATCTCATAACCCTCGGCAAAATTAGTAAAGAGACCGTCATATGCTGGGCGTAAGCGTTGGGCAGAATACCCTGCTGCCCTGGACGTGGCATCAAGTGAACTAACCAGTTAACCAATGCGGCATGTCCTCACGACGATTCTGGGTGCCCTAGATGCATCTTCTTCCGGGATTGCCTTGGGATGTATGTAATCTAATATGTGCTCTAGTTATGGCTCTTGTGCAATAAGAGTATATGTCATTCATACCCAGATAGAAGATTTAGCGAGCCTCAGGGACTCCCGAGGCCATCCAAAATTCTTTGTCGAGGTCGAGGTGCTGGTAACTAAATATTTAGTTACACGCAAAGCCGACTCTCGCCAACGTAATTAGTTATTAACAACCGAGCGGATCACCAAGCTGAAGTCATGCACCAATTTATTAATCTACCTGCTTTGACACGTCAGAAATGCACCCGATTCCACAATAAAAATAAAAATAAATCTCACTGGAATTAGAGGGAAAAGACTGGAATTGCAGTGGCTGTCTTAAAAGGTAAAGAAATCATCTTTATTCATGAAGTAGCAAGACTGTAGTTGTCAAAGAGGATGATGTTTCCAGCTCGCAATGCTAAATATCAACCGAAATGTTTTAAAACGCCGCAAGACAATTCGGAAGAATCGGATGCAAAATATGTCCCGGAATTGATTTTTGTATATAAATTAGCTGGCATGGGCCATAAAGGAAAATAGGGTACAATCGGATATTCGACGGCTACAAAAAGCCGGGTGAAATCCGCATCGACTGAGATCAGAACGATCAATGAAGTGGTTGTGTTGTTCCCTTTTCGGATAACTTAACTATAAGAGAGTCTTAGCAGCAACCAAAGCGCAATTGTAAACGACAGCCGTTTGGAATAGGATATCCCGTTAAAACGTTCAGAGTCCGTTCGAATCTCTCATCAAAAACACGCGGTCTTTTCGTGGGGTCATAATCTTCCGTTCACGATATGATCCGCCTGTTCTAAAAGACGACGCACAAAACAATGCCTCTAATGAACCACAACCGTCGAATAATCACCCTCAAGTGGCAAGAATATATCCTTCGCGATAAATACGATTGGGACAATTGGTACGAGGACGTATGCTCTGTGGCAGTTTCACAAGGGTACAACGATATACCGATCTTGACACCGAAGAGATCGAACCACCGAAAGAACACGAACCCTATGAGATTGAAAATGATGCGGATCCTCGAATAGTCCTGGAACAGACTCAGATGTACAAAATAAAGAGTGGTAAGTTCAAGGAATGCAAGAAATCAACCAGATTCATGTATAGATACTTTCACGGCAAGCCTTAATCCACACGTGCGGAATCAACTGTCAGATGAGGAAATCCACGTAAGATTCTTCAAGAACTGAAGGATTATATCACTCCTACTAAATGGCAGCGAGATGTTGATCTTACTGCTCGTTTTCTGAGACTATCCAGCTATGAAGAAGTTTAGAGGCCAGTCTTCGAGCGGCTCCGAGATTGGGAGGATTGCCATCGTCTTATTCTCCGTTATGATGCGGACGGATTTACAAGTGAACGAGGCAATCTGCATAGGTTCTTGGATGCTGTTCAGGCTATTCACCCTGAATTCTCGGACTTCTGTTGTCAAGAGATGGAGAATCATATTTTGGCGCGAAACATCTACAACCCGTGAGATGATACATCTCTTTAGAAATCACTGCAGATCTCGCAGAAATGGCAGTGAGGTAGGCACTATTCAAAATACAGCATTCGCTGCTTACCAGGTCATACAACTAACTCTACGCTGTTGCGTCCTCGAGCGGCAAAGAATACTACGAATTCCGCCCAAAACATCAATAATCTGGTTAAACCTGCAATTCCTAGGAACCCATCGCGTTCATGTCTCTGCGGGGGAAACCATCGCTACGCTCACCGCCGAATCATATATGAAAGCATCAGTCCCAAGGGTTGGATCCCAAACGCTTTAAAAAGATGCAAAAATGAAGAAAGCTCTAGAGGATCCAGCAACGAAAAAGAGTGTAGATAATGCTCCCAAGACGTGAAAACGGGACAAGAATAATCCAGCGGTTGTTCCCCCTTTCGGATATATGAGATTCGACGCTATTCTCGTTTCATAGTGTTTCACAGCAGTCATTGTAGAGCGAGACATAAAATTAAAAAGACTTATTAACTTCAGAGAATTCACCTTCCGACTGTTTTATCTCTGCCAACTTAGTCACTGTTTGAACCCTTCACCTCATCATATCATCTTTCTCTGTCATATCATACTAAGTAGACTTCTCTTCTTGTAAATCTGAGCGGCTCTATTCATCTTCTCAACTGATATCTCAAAGACTTTTGAGAATGACCTTGTGATTATTTTTCATTCAGAGTGTGAGATAGAGAGTAGTTCACTTATTGATTTCAGAACCTGAGTATCCTATGAAAAAGAAAAGAAAAAAAAACATGAAAAACTGAGAATGAAAGATTGATTTGATCCTTCATATGACGAGAAGAGAAGAGAAAAGAAATAGAGGAAGCCAGCTAAGCTCTTATAGTACGGCTGGTCACGTGTCGAGCGGAAATCCGTGTGCTCAAGATCATTAAAATTCCAGGGGCTGTTGTTGACCTAAAAACGGGGTTATCCAGTTCACCCGTGCCGAAAACCTGCCTGTTTAACTCGCTATTCGCTACGTACGTCTCCATCTACTGTCCATGTTTGGCTGCCCGGTTCCTTCGCGGTATGTTTGTCACCAGAGGAGACATCCGATGGTCAAAATTTTGACATTGGTTACTTATTTATCGAGCATGTCGAGGAAGCGAAAGGGAAAATGGTGTCAAACGCCTGGATTGAAAAGCAGGATGATATAAAACTTACGAAGCAATTTCTTTCGTGATCTAGTCGGATATTCTTGAGTCTTACAAGCACTCTCCTCCCCAAAGATTGGATCCTTCGTTATAGATAACAATGGATTCCTATTCCTCTGCCTAATATTAACCGACCTCTTTCTCTCGGCATCCAAGAACTAGAGAGTGAGGAGATGAGATTTCAATCAACATGCCTTGGGATTACACCTTTTCTGCTGTTGAGTCTTATGTTGTGAACATTCTTTCCCTTCATGATAACCAGCTTCAACGCCAAACAAATGCAATAAATGACACGGGTGACTATATCTACCAAACATAAGCTCTGGCAGAGCAATGCGAGCAATTCTCTCATTATTCCTCCGTCGGAATCTTTGTCGCGGACCATTCACCTCTATGTTGACAGATATCCATCAAAGCAAATATATTCGTTAAGGAAAACTGGCATATTTCCTCCCTGGTCGACATGGAATGGGCATGCTCTTTGCCTGTTGAGATGGTTGAACCTCCTCACTGGCTTACGGACAAGGGTGTGAATCAGATAGTTTTGAAAGAGTACAACAGGGCTCGACTGGGATTTATGAACATTTTGACAAGTGAAGAAGAAAACTCAAGTTACAATGCCAGACAACACGATGAAACTGTCGGCTATCATGAACCAAGCTTGGGAGATGGGAACATTCCGGTCTAGCCTAGCCCTGTCCAGCCTAACTGTACTTTTCATCCTTTTTGACCAAAAAAAAAAAAAAAAAAAATCAACTGAGACTAATTGGGAAATGCCCTGATCACGATGTGTTTCACGAAATTATGCCATGGTAGTGGATACAGTGAGGATTTCTGGCACGCAAGCTAACAGACAGAAAGGACTATGATGCCTGGCTTCAACAGGCATTTTGAGGAAAGCATTTACACGAGTCAAAGTTTCGGCGACTCATAATTAGTCACTGGCCGGTTTTCTTACTTGCGCCCTACTGGTTCGGCTCTTGGGGTCCTTTCTGGACAGCTCCTTCGAGAGGCCGTATTGCCTTCTCATTCTTAAGCCTTTCTCAATTATCTCGTGCAGCTTTGGTCGAAGAGCTGAGCAACTGGACAGTCTTTCATCGTACAATCAGGACGAACAAATATTCGCGTTTGATAATTGTGTGAACTCGACAAACTTAATTTGACTTTCTTGGGTACGCAAGGTGGTCAATAGTAGTAGACAACTAGTCTATTGAAGAATATATCCAACTCTTAGTTCTGTGAGGGCATGACAACGCATCTATAAAGGTAAATACGACCTTTGCACCCCAGAACATCGCTGCTTTTTGGTTTTTCTAACTGCTAGACATTGATAAATATATTAGGCAGCCCGTAGGAAACTCCATCTGTTCTAAGGATTTACCAGCCGTAAGGGACGTTGGACCGCCTGTTTGAAATCGACCGAGGAATCGTGGTAGCTCTATCTGCTGTCACGTGTTTGAGCTGGGCCGGGTCGGGTAAGGAGCCTTGGCGGTGAGAGCCAGGAAAAACTCCTACATTATGTAACGAGTTACTTTCGATGCCTGTCAAAACGCTCCAAAACTTTTAACAGAACTCCTTTTTCTATCACAATCTTGGGAAAGGGGGAGCGTCTCACCTACGTTTGGAGGGTAGACAGATTTCGTGCTGCACAAATCTAAGGCCATGTGCATGACGAAATAGTTTTTCAAGTTCAGAGACCTTAAAGCATAAATGGAGTACTTGATTCGTTTCGCGCAAGTCCACGAGTCGTTTCGAAAGCCCGAAATTGAGGCTCTTGCAACTCTTGTGGGGACTAATGTTGAGTTCTTAGAATACACAGAAAATGTCTGTTGCCTATAGCCTTTTCCGTAGGGGAAAGCAAAAATTCCCAAACTATCTGTATAGCTTGAGTACTAATTTTTCGATCCAGACACCTTTTGCCCTCATCAAACTTCAAGATGAGGCCGCTGCGAGAGCAGTTATATCTCGAAGCATCCTAGCAAAGGGTATTTATGAAGTCTGGGGACGGGGTCAGACTTACGCAGAACTACACACGAATATCCGTAAACGGACTGCATCGAGATGGAACGACTTCAAAAACATGTCATTCAAATTTTCCATAGATTCCTATGCGGGGAAACGCTCAGCAAAGGAGAAAATTCAATTAATCCAGTCTTTCGCATACATGGGGTTTCAAGGTACAATCACAATGACCGATCCTGATGAGAAGTTTTGCATATTTGAAGAATATCCGCGGCGCCCAGTTAAGCCAGGTGAAAAGCGACCTGCTCCAAATTTGCTCTACTTCGGTAGATGGATTGCGTGTGGGAGCAGAGACGTTATAGATAAGTACGACTTGAAGAAACGAAATTATATTAGCACCACCTCAATGGATGCCGAGTTGACATTGGTTACGGCGAACATGGCTTTGGCGGCGCCAGGAAAGGTTTTTTTTGATCCGTTTGTGGGAACTGGAAGCTTTTGTGTGGCTATGGCACATTTTGGAACATATACACTGGGCGCTGATATTGATGGACGCAGCTTCAGTGGTAAAGATAAGCAAAAAGGCAAATCGATAGGCCTCGTCTCGAACCTTGAGCAATATGGTATCCAGCAATATTACTTGGATGTTTTCATCTCAGACCTGACGAACACCCCCATTAGGGCAACACAGTTTCTTGATGGCATTATTTGTGACCCACCATATGGTGTTCGAGAAGGATTAAAAGTGTTAGGAAACAAGGATGGTAAAAAGCGGGAACCGTTTCTTTTAAACGGTGTCCCAAGTTATTTGTAGGTGCACTTTTTCCCCCTTCACTCTTCCGCCCTATATCTTTTTGATATAGTCCGTCATGTGCGCCAAAAAAAAAAAAAAAAAAAAAAAAAAGTCTTGGTTCGAAATGTTAATTGTTTTTTTTTTTTTTTTTTTCCTCTGATAACCAGTTTGGACGGATACATTGCCCCCAAAAAGCCGTATAGTTTCGATGCAATGCTAGACGATATTCTTGAGTTTGCTGCTATCGCTCTCGTCCAAGATGGGAGAATATCGCTCTGGATGCCCACAGCCAATGAAGATGATGTCGAGCTTCAAATCCCAAGTAATCCACATCTTGAACTTCTGAGCGTCTGTGTGCAGCCTTTTGGTCATTGTGAGTTCTTCCATTTTGCACATTCTCTTATGTTTTTATTCCATGTCTTGTGATTAATTACTGCCTCCAGAGTTTCTATCTAATTCTCTTTAAAAGGGTCTCGTCGCCTTCTCACATACCGTCGACTTCCAGATGGAGAAGTCTCGCACTTCAAACCTCGACGACAGAGGGAAGAGATAAATGGTGTGAATGCAGACGATTTAAATGCCTTTCGGAGAAAGGTATGGAGTATATAACTTTTGATTTGCATGCGGGTTTCTATGTCGAATTAACATCTATCAAATAGTATTTTACAAAATCCAAATCGGAACCCAAAGATAGCCCTGACGATAGGGCACCCTGAGATACGTGGGACCATGGTTTCAGTCGTCTCTCTCTTTATCTACCACAGAGGGGTAACAAACGCATCCATGACCGATTACCTTCACCGACAACTTTTCTCAACGCAAAATATCGTATGCTTTTTTTTGGGGGTTGGGGGGAAATACTCAGTCAAATGAAATCAAAAATAAACCAGTCTGCTTTTAACCTCAGCACGAAACACCAACAGAAATTACTTATCCCGGCGTCAAAATATCACAACTTCTCCATCCTCCTCCCTGTCCACAGCTCCAAATAGCCGTCAAGGTCCAAGTCAACACCCTCCTCTTCCTTAACTCGGATCACCTCTTTCGCCAATTCCGCCCTCAATAGAGCTACCGTTTCCTGCGCTTCGTCGTCGTCAAGTTCGTCTCTCTGCCCACGCCCAAACATCCTCCAGCCCCCCTTGGTGGGAGTTCTCGTATCCAAAGGCGGCCTTGGGATAATATGGAAGTGGACGTGGGGCACTGTTTGTGACGCTCTCGCTCCTGTTGTGTATGGAAATCGAGAGAAACGGGTGGGAAGTGTGAGAAGCAAAATTGCGTTATACCAGATTCAAAAGAAAAGTGAAAACATATAACGTTAAATACGGGTGCATGCGTGATCAGGCATATAAGTTCGATATTATCCGATGAATATATAACTTATAAGGGTTGGGAACACACCGTTATTTTGCACAACATTCCAATGTGCTGGTTCTTCACCACGAGCATCTAACTCGGTTCCCAACACCGTCCTAACCACCACCCGAGAAAGAATCGTTAACCATTTACCAAGCTGCTTGGATATCATTGTATTAGCATATACAGCCACAGGGGTCTTTTCGAAGAAGAAAAAAAAAAGAAAAGAAAAGAAAAGAAAAAAGAAAGAAAAAGGAAAACAACAGCAAGAAAGAAAGCCGAAAGTTTCTAACCTCGCTCCCTGCCTCAACCCCTACATTCCCCAAATTCTCATAATGCCCTCTGGAAACCACAAGCACATGGCCCCGTGTCAGCGGCATGATATCCAGAAATGCCAAGACATGTTTTGTCGACAGGATCAGGTGCGTCTGTGGCTCCGGTGGACCTGAATCGGGTGTCGTGGTTGTCTGGGGGTTGATTGGCAGGTCCAAACGGGAGGGTGGGAAAGGGGGGTGAGCGGCTGCTACGGCACAGAAGGGACAAGATGGGGAATGGGGCAGATGCGGGTTGGGGAAGGGTTTGGCACGTCCGCGATATGCTGGTTGCCATAAACCTGATGTCATTTTGGGAGGGTGATATTGGGGTGAAGAAGTTGTTGGTTTTGGGGGAGCGTAAAAATGCAGAGTAATTATTCTTGGCGGTGATTTGTTTGATCAGGGAAAAAAGAGTTTGTTTTAAATACGTGTTTGTAAAAATGGGTTTGAACGGGTGGTTTGGACGTGATTTAGGTTGTTGAAAATATCCGGATAAAGCAAATATTGCACATCTGAATAACAAATCATCGGGGAAAATGAATATGTCGATATGTTTATCAAAAACCGAAAACAAAGCAAGTTTCAAAAGATATCCATTTGGAAGCCAAAACGGAAGACAGTTTACCCAATCTAAGTCCGTACAATTAAGATAAATTTCGTTAATTATCCTTTTTTCTGCGCACACCGAGTTCAACCACGTCGGTTTGAGCGATGAGTCTGTCGCAGAACCGAGGCACGAGCATAACAGCTAGACCGGAAATATACTACTAGCGTACACTCCAAAATTATCTACATCAGCTTCAAAAGTTGCTCGCTACCGTAACAAAAGCATCGCATGGCATTCCATAGAAGTACGTCAGTTGGAACCGAAAAATGCCAAAAATAAATAAATAAATAAATAAAAATAAATAGAGCACGAGACAAAAACCTTTAATGCCGGTGTAAGGCTCGGAAACAACATGCAAATATTATCTAAGGTTCATGAATCTTGCCTCTTACTGTCTCACTTCAAAGTGCTGGTCCTCGCCGAAGTCAGCTCCCAACCTTCAAACACCCGATGTCAGATGCAACCCACACTGCAAGAGACATCCAGACGTATGGATTCCAAAAAGTTATCGAGAGGAGACGAGAAAACCCATGTTCCCATCTTAGGTACCAGCGCTTTATTTCAGAGTAATAGTAAAGCTGAGAACAAAAGAATTGGGCGCATAGCGCAGACACCAATGAACATAAATAAAACATGTAATTTATGTTTCTCAATCTCCGAATCTTCGTCCAGAGGCAAGCAATAGTAACAGCAACGCAAGCAGAGAGAAAAACAAGAGGTCATCAGAGGAACTACAGCTCTTTTTGAATAAAGGAGGAAGAAATCAAAGAAAACAAGGCGAAGAACAAATAGAGAGAATAATAAGTAAAAAACGGCACAAAGATGTTTTCCAACCCTTGACGCACTTTTAACACCGCTCGCAGGTTCCAAAAACCAAAAAAAAAAAGGGGAAGGTAGAAAAGAATAAGGGCGCCTGACTCTTGGAAAGACAAAAAAAAGACGGCGTAAAATGGACAACCATGCAATAATCAACAAGGCAGAAGCTACGAACCAGACAGGGGGAAAGAATGTAAAAGAGGGTTGTGGATGGGGGAAGATAATCACAGAATACCTAATGATGCCATCATAACAAATGCAACCTCACGTATACTCCGTCATGAACTCAAAAAAGACCAAAACCCCCCCCCCCCCCCAAAAAAAAAAAAAAAAAAAAAAAAAAGGAGGAACAGAAGAGCACGCCGGGCGTGTCCTTGGTAGGCCGGAGGAGACAATCCCCCAGCCAAATACATACAGGATAAGACACGAATAAATGTATATATCACAATCATAGCATAGAAGTGTAGGGACCACTAAATATATATCAACTATTAACCACTCTTGGTTTTGCTGTCACTTTTGGCGCAGTTATTGCTTTCTGTCGAGTAAGCACTATCAGTATCGAGGTAGAGAGAATGGTACTTCTTGGCCCATTGGCGGGTGACAATTGAAGCTGATTATCACAAGGAGTTAGAAAAACAGGCTCGTTATCAACAGCAACGATATAATAAGGGTAGCAAACCTTTCATAAATTTTTTGCTGGCGTATTTTTTGAAGAATGCCTCGTGGGCGACAGGACGGTGGAGATAGTCAATCAGTAATCGGAAAACAGGGAGAATTTCCTCTTGGGTATAACCGGCATAATGTGCAAGGGTCGCGTCCTAATACGCCACTTAGTAGGTGATAAACCCTGAAAGCATCTAAATCACATGAAGGACAACCCACCCAACGACCAGAATCGAGTATCAAACGGGCGAGGTACATGGCGGCAGCGGCAACATGGCTTTGTCGGTAAGCCATAAACCTATGATCAAGCAAGCTGACTTCGGTCAAGTACTTTCCGAGAGTTCGTGTCTGGATGTCATAGTTGTCTGCCTTGGATATTCTGCGCAAGAAGTTCATGGGATTTGGATAGCTGATATCATAGTTAAGTGTAGCAAGGACGTGTCGTTCCGCGTCGAGAATCTCTTTGTCCGAGAAGGTCTCATCGGCGACATGGCTGAAGTTTGCAACGTGAGGGGACAGGACTTCTTCGTACTTGGCCGCGATGAACATGGCTGTGACTCCAACCAGTTGCAGCCTATCGAGAGCGACAACCTCAGCGGACAAAAAGCGATCGATGATGTTAACTGCCAAGAAGAGGGTTTCAGGGAGGAGACGAAAACGGGTGTGGACTTCAATAAGCCAGTCAACTAGGATACCACGCATTTTCCACTCGAGTTCTTCTTGATGGTCGATATAGTCCGGGTTGGGCATAGTTCGAGGCTCAATCTCTTTTAGATAGTCGAAGATTTCAACAACGTATTCGGCGGCCATTAGAGGATCGTAGAGATCCTCAGTATCGAGATCCAATACCTCTTCTTCCTCCGCAGCATCATCTTTGATCTCCTCGATCTCCTTCAATACGGCCTTTTTCTCGACGGTAGTCTTTTCAAGTTCAGGCTGCTTATCAAGTTCAACCTTCTTTCGAGGTGGTTCCTCAACCGTGCTGGCACTATCTGTTCGAACAGTTCTATGGCCCGTTGGGCGTTTTGTTTTTGCTCCCCCCAAGACACCAGAACCGCTACCTAGACGTTTCAATTCGGTTGTTTCTCGTTGTTTGTTAGTATCTTTGGTACTAAGAGCTGGCCGTGACGTATTTGCTCGACTAAGCTTCTGAACTCCTGCGCTGTGGGTAGAAGCCTTTGAAGTTAGACCAACGCGTGAAGCTGCCGGCTTCTTTCCCTCTTTGGCATCTACATTATCATTCTTCGTCATGTTGCTGACATCTCCAAGGGCGGGGCGTCTTCGTTGAGTGGCAGCATTGGCGACATTGGTAGCAGATTTCTTCGATTGTAATGGTTTCTTGGTCGCTTCGGCTGTGGCTTGGGCTTCTGGCACGGCAAGAGCGGCAGCTTTTGCCCGTGTGAGACGTATCGTAGCCGCATTTTCATCGTTTTCGTTGGTGACAACACGTTGGCGAAGAGACCGTGGCTGGAAAGGGGTTAGCGAAAATGCCACACCAACAGTTATCAGGAAGGAGGTGCAAGAAAGCCATTTGGACGCATAATAGATGGAGTTAAGAACACCAGAAGATCAAGAGACTTACAGGGGGCATCTTGAAAGACGTGAAGAGTTGTTACGAACGCGTCTAACTGAATTAAACAACGTTCTCGTTGCTCCCAACCAATACTGACGTGCAGCGTTCTCAAATGCTACTCTTTCTGCGTCACGGTAGGATATTAGTTGATGAAGTCTCGAATGACACGTATGAGGGGTTGTGTCGTATCAATTGTTTAACAAATATCATGGAAGAATGCAGTGCTGGTGAGGGCAGATGAAGTTTTGTTGTGGTTGTTGTTGAGGTCAAAAACCGGAGCAACTAGCCACGCCAGCCAAATGCAGCAAGCAAAACTTTAACAGTGATATCCTCGAAAATGAGGTCTCCGAGCAACAGAGGAGGGAAGGGAATTGAGTGAGGATGAGGGAAAGGGCAGTATGGGAGGGTTCTCACCTGGTGTGTCTTCTAAATTCGAAAGGGAAATCAGGAGACAGCCTTGGAGTACCTGGCACGTCAATATATGTTTGCCCGTCTTCTAGCGCGGTCAATTGGTGCCAAGAGATGAATGAAGAACCCCCCCCCCCCGGGCGAGAAATCACACGATAACTCAGACTGGGCTACAGGAGCTGAGAGAGTAGAATAGAAGAGTAGGATGCGCGATATATAAGTACAGGGTAAGATGGAGGGTGGGGATACTAAAGTGAGAGGATAAGATGGAATGCCTCTTGCAGGAAGAGACGGGGTGGTTGGTGTTGTTGAAAAGAAGAAGAGAAGATGAAGTTGAGATGAAAGACGGGTTTAAGAAGCGAAATGGTAAGAACAATTAATTCGACCCAGACTTGTTGTGGTGTGTCCGTGTACCGCAAGAGTACCTAATCGGTACGCCAACCTGCTGCGGCCAGACAGGTACTGTTGTGTACTCTACACGCACACCACCCACACCAGACCGCGCTGATACGTCCCAGGCCGCGTTGGAGCCGCAATTCGACTGCGGTAACAGCCCGTCACACCATTACAAGACGCACGGGCCAAAGAGTAAACAAAGGCCGTTGGCCAGGAAACAGTCGTCATATTTCCGTGGTAATTAGATTTCTTCCATTGCAGGCACGTATTGTCGGTATTGATACGGGCACAAGCACAAACAACAGCGCGCAGACAGTAATTTACGGCGTTCTGTAACGTATTGGCTACGCCATCCGGAATATATTTAGTTTACTAACTAGTTAACGCTAGTTTAGTTTAACTATAGTTAGTTAGTTAGACTAACTAATTAGGTAAGGGGTTGCTCGTGGAAAGTTACCTAACCGACTTTGGAAAGGCGGCTGAAAATATATATCATGTGACCAGAATATCATGTGACCTCGTCCGGGTCCGGCGAACTTTTTGTGACATCTTCGGAAGAGAAAATGTGCACAGCGGGGAGAGCGTACCAGGGGGAGTGCAACGACACCAACTATTATTTGCACGTATCAATCGCAGCCCCACGGTATCAATTGATATCAATTGCTGCAAGACGGGTTCTGGGTCTGCTGGGGTATGTCTTGAGGTCTGCCCTCCGCGCTGTTTCACTTCACCTTCCGAATTCTTCAACCAGTCTAATCCCGCAGGCACCAAGTTTGGGCAGCTCTCTTCCCGCCCATCATGCTCCAAACACGCCTCTCATTGAGGAGCCTACAAACCTCCTGTAGATGTCTTTCGTCAATTACAGCCCGCGCATACTCCAGCACCGTTGACCAGAAGCCCGAAGAACCTCCCCCACAGGAAAAAGTGACACCCAACTTCGCTTTTGCTCCTCCACCCGTTCGAGATAAAGAAGGCCTCGGTCTGCGCACTTACACCCCTCGCACCCCCGGTCTGAGACATTTACGAAGGCCGATAAACGATCATTTGTGGAAAGGAAGACCCTACCAGAAGCTCACGTTCCCTAAAAGGGGCCATGGCAAAGGTGGTCGAAATAATACCGGCAGAGTGACAGTACGACACAGGGGCGGAGGTCATAAACGGAGAATACGTACCATCGATTTTGAAAGGAAGGAACCAGGACCCCATACCGTTGAGAGAATCGAGCATGATCCCAATCGAAATACACATATTGCTCTTGTCAGGTCCAACAATACCGGCAAAATGAGCTATATTATCGCTGCAGAGGGCATGAGGGCCGGTGATGTCGTGGAGAGTTACAGAGCTGGTATCCCCAACGAGCTATGGAAGAATATGGGCGGTACAGTCGATCCTGGCATGCTGGCTGCCAGAACCCGCATGGCGGGGCAACTGTCTCCCCCTCCACATGATCCCCGTTGGCTCATTGATTTACAATGTCGGCTTAAAGCCGGACAAGGGCGGCCAGCTGTGTCGGGCTGCCGGTACCTTTGCAACCGTCACTCTAAAAGCCACTGAGGGGCTGTCAGAGCAGTTAGAGCAGGCGGAAGCTCTGTCACTACCCACCGAGGCGGGAAACCCCTTACAATGCAGGCGAAACGTAAGCTCCAGCAGCTGGCGGACCATGTCACTATTCGTCTGGCAAGTGGCGAAGTTAGACTTATCCACAAGGACTGCTGCGCAACTATTGGTGTTGCGAGCAATGCCTATTTCAAATATGGACAGCTTGGGAAAGCTGGGCGAAGCAGGTGGTTGAATATTCGTCCCACTGTTCGTGGTCTTGCTATGAACGCAAAGGACCATCCGCATGGTGGTGGACGAGGAAAGTCGAAGGGAAATGTCGATCCAAAAAGTCCTTGGGGCAAGCCGGTACGTCCCAATATCCCATTCCATGTGACTTCTCATAGCATAGCAAAGCTTTCCTCCACCATTTTCCCTTTTACTCTGCTTGCTAACATCGTTTCGTGAAATACAGGCCAAATCTGGCTATAAAACCCGACCGAAGAACCGCATTAATAAGGCTGTCGTTGTTCCACGCGTACGGAACCAAGGCAAACGTCGCAGAGGTTACAACTAATGACCTCATTTGTCTGGCCTTCTTTGTTTTATTATAACAAGTATTTTTCCGCCCCCCTTTCAAATTTGCTTGTACTCATATGACCGTTTCTCGAAGAATAAAGCACTCATTTACTGTTTGGTTTGATAACTCTCTATGGTGCTAAAAGGCAGTAGGGCAAGTTTTATGCCTGCTCTGTACTTATATTTCTGACCTGGGTTCCTGCAAATGCTTTGTTTCAAGCATCTCATCCACTTCATAAAAAGGGGGAAGAGGCTGTTGGCCGGCCTGCTTCTAATAGTATTTCTTGCACCCAAGGCATGTTCGCCTTATTATTATAGAAACCTTACTGTATATAGGCTTCGACTTTCATCCCCCTCAAAATTCTGTACACCATTTTTCCTTTCCACAATATCCTGATACATACCCTCTCTATTTTTCCATCTTCAACTAGATCTAGCGCCTACGCATCTTTGTCTCTTCCCGTTTTCCATTCTCGGCTTTGATAGGGTGCAGTCCACTAGTTCCGTATTTCGATATAACACGAAATTTTTTTTCACCAATTACCCTTAAGACCCACAATACAAGCTGAATTGTAATATTCGATATCATTCATGCATCTTTAACATCAATAGAAGACCAATCATTCTTATACAGGGGACGAATAGAACACACTCATGTGCTGTAAAACTTCCTAGGTGGTATAGTCTGTTCAATTGTTTACTGAGTACCAATGGAGTCAAACCAACCACACTGATGAGAATCATAGGCCAGCGGTACATTTGATCAAAAATAGAGTCAAATAAAGAAAATACCCTTGAGGTCCTAATAATTGGTTTG